ACAAAAGCAAGTCAGAATTTTGACTTTGGCTTCCCATTATGCTCACAAATGGAGAGATTAAGATAGGATTTGCCAGGTGTTGGTTACTACCACTCAAGGGTTGCCATTGTAGGGTTCTAAGGGTTAGGTAAAACACAAAAGTTGGGCTGAACCAAGGCTACCTCCTAAAGCCCTAAAGCTTCGGCCAAACATCAATTAAGGATCAAAAGTATACAAGCCCAAAATGTAGCTAACTTAATTACTTACTCATAAAATATAAATTCCCAAGTCTTGTAATTATATTTAATTCTTTCTACAATTTGCTATAATTAATTCGTACATCTTTTCTAAGGCTTCACATGCCTAAAATAAATTCTCACCTATTATTATAATTCAAGTAATTTCCCTAGCTCAATCTTAATTCCATGCTAATAACCATATAATTCAAAAGCCCAGCACATATTACATGTGATCCGAATTGTCACACATTCACTCTTATGTCCTATAATATTTTATGTATTTCCCCAATTGTGTGGGATGTTACACTCTCCCCAACTTGTTTTGAAGTTTGTCCCCAAACTTCGTCTTACCATTTCCACATCTGCTTAAAACTAATGCTGAACACAATCATTCCCAAGAGAGGACCCCAAGCGGAACTCAACATATAACAGACATATACACAGTCAGCCCCAAGGGAGGACCCCAAGCGGACATCCTTGCAATTTGAATCAATACAAAAATTACATCAAAACCTAACAAGGTATACACATCCAAAAATATCAAAATAACCACATCAAAACATATCCAATTACCTTACCACAGTCCGTATACCATGGCGGAACACAAAGCAAGAATGAACCTCATAAATATAGAACTTACTAACAAAATTCCGGCTATAAACATTTTTAGTGAAACTCATGGCCCTAGCATATATTTGGTTTGCAACTAAACAATCCATTCCTGACACTTCTTCACTTTATAATTTTAATACAGTATTAGTGGGGCCTATGTGAACAGAATTTTATTCACCTGATTCAGAGTTGCATCGCAAGAAGTAGGAAATAATAAACAGACAGCTTCTCACATTCCCTATATCATTACTTACCCTTCAAGCCATGCTATACCATTACTCCACTTTTCCTAACTTAAGGTTTCCCTATCAAGTGCAATTACACATCAGTGGCCTAAATCAAAAGTTCCTAAGAATGAAAGGGTTCATTTCAAGTGAAATACCATTACCTCTTATTACCTGCACACTTATAAGGATCAATTAACTAGGATCTCCAATTTTAAATGCTTCGCCTTTGTGATATGCATGTTACAACTTTCTAGAAGTGTCATCACCTCCTACTTGTTCCTTATCCATAACAACAATCCAGTTCACTCATTACACACATCACACCTATGTATTACATTCAGATTTCTACGTTAGTCACCTTACCTAAATTATCACAGATAAAACTTTAATTTTTGTTATCCTTTAGGAAATCAAGCAAGCAAAACAGAGTACGATGCATACTAAATTTTCAATTGAGATGAGTCTCCGTAAAATCACAAAACTTCTATCCTATCTTTCATACATATCATGTTAAGTGGTACCCCTCATGCAGTTCATCAAAACACCCATATGAGGAAACTTCCTCGAGCTTTCCGCTGTCCTAGGTACCTCGGATGTAATTGACTCCACTGATCAGAGGATCCATTAACCATGATATGAACCTTCCAATCATTGACACATATTACCATCTTGAACAGCCATCACCATAACCCACTAAAACAGACCAAGCTTTCATAAATCATGTTCACAATTAATCATATTCAAAATTTTAGTTACAGTTCATTCTACAGTTAAAAGGGACGAGTAGAAATTGCAGTACAAGATCTCAAGCATGCAAACACCAAATCTCAAGTTCCGTAAACAAATGATTAATCTCATCCATACAAGCAGCAATATATCTACTCAATGAGAACATAGCAATAGTATATCATGAAGTACACAAAACAATTAGCAAACTTTTAAACATAGAATTTACAGAAGCGGCGTATTTAGATCACAAATTGAAAGGCATATCAACTAAACAGCAATTATACAAAATCAGGATGTTCAAGCTAAATTCAACTCTTACGTCAGGCACTCAGTTCTTATATTAAATGTTCAAGGGAACATGCAGGTATAACAAAAGGGTTCAGATTAATTCGAATGGCATACACAAAATAACTAACAGTTCTCAACAAATACGGACAGAAGGTAAGAGAGGTTCATATTCATTTTAGATTTAGAAGTTTGAGCACACATGCAATCTAATCAAGACAATAGTTTATTCCAGAATTTAATATAGAACCAGAAAGTCATAGATCTACTGTTTTCCCGTTACTCATTCAATCAAATCATAGAGTGAATATGTGCAGTTAGAGGGTTGATATTTATAGAAAAAATAAAATTTTCTTTTGGAATCAGATACTGTGCAACATGGTGAGAACATAATAGACAATACTCCATAAACTCGAGTTATTACACAAATAAAATACTAATCGACAAAGTTGAACAACTCATGCTATCAACTCCAGAGGACGATTTATCCCAGCTTTTAACATAAAACAAGAAATCTTAGCTTCATTGTTTCCTTATTAGTAGTTCGGTCAAATCATACAGTGGGTAAGTGCAATTTCAAAGCTCGGTACTTCTAACAAAGTATAGTTTTCTTTCCGGTTCAAATACGGTGCAGTATAATGAGGAACAATGAGCATCTCTTAGTTACTTGTGTTATGGCATAAACAAAATGTGCAAAATAATCTTGGACAATCTATGCATCAGGCACATAGTAATTGATCAAAACATACTTTCCTTCAAGTCACCTTAACTAATCAAAGAAGGCCAAGTGTAATTCAGGCGTTACTTTAACAGTATATACGTAAAACAGATCTAATCAATGATCGAGCATCATGCAATGTTCAACAAATTCAGTTGTAATTCATGCAGCAGAAAAATCGAATCATGCAACTAAAACTTTCAGGAGACCAGCATTAGACGTTTTAAATGCATATATTTATTAGGTGCAACGAACTGTCGTGACCAAGTTGATATTATAGTACTCACAAAATAAACCAAACTTATAATCCTATGTACCAGCAAACATCACATTTTCAAATCCACAATTCTAATGAAATTAGCAGGTATGAGCTCATAATAGTTAAAGCTGATAAACAGTCAAATTCTAATATCCCTTTCTAATCCAAGTGTACCATTTGTGCAGATTATCCATACCCATGCATTGTCAGACAACTTTTTATTAACCAGTTATAACCTACCGATGCTTACTCAAAGATTAATTTTAACAAAGTATCAAGCATTTAACAAAAACAAACCAAACAAGGTGTAGCTCTATGTAATCACAATTTACTCGCTTAGTCCACTATACTCTAAATTCAATTCAGATATCCTTTCCTTAATTATGCATTCAGTTACAATAAAATGTTCAATATCTAAACTGATAATTTCAAACAATCGCCACATGAAATCCGTTGTTATAATCAGAGACAATAAATTTACATGCAAGTCTAAAGGTGGTCAAAATCACACAAGCAATCCAATACGTACGAAGTAAAATGACAAGTATCACTCACAAGAAGTACACAAAGACAGAAGTCAAGTACCCTACCCTACAATTACCACTTTGTTTAACAGCTTCTTTCTCAAGAATTGTGTCTACTGCCAATTCACCATTAGAAGATTTATAAAAGACAGCGATTCCACATGTTAAAGCCTTAATTAGTTCTAACTCTACTTTCTAAGGGTACTAACTGTATCTATGTTGATAAGTGATCTATCCCTACATAAGTTTGTCTACATACAGTTTTCAGGTCAAATAACAAGTCCTTCGTAAGGCTAAATAACTACATCAATTGTCATGATTAGATCACTGCTACCTTTATTCAGTTATGAGACCCAACAGGACTAAAAAAAATAACAGTTTTCCATTACCCAGCCGTATGCCCCAATCACAAGGCAAGTCATAAATCAGAAAAACAAATATGTGACAGTAATCATTATTTAAAGATAATTCATTATCATCCACAACTCAGAATACCACAAAATATTTACATCAAGTATATAGATATATATAGCACCTCCATTATAATCCCTAGGAAGCAGAATTTACAATCAATCACTAATTCAAGTAGCAATTCACTATTTCAAACTGAGTGCTCAGGCACAAGTGTACTCCGTGATAACCATGATTGTGCACACACAACTTGCGCGACAGTGAGTTGATCAGGCTCACCACCTAGCAAGGGAATGGGCACAGCCATGCTTAATACAGTGTACTACCAGTATCATCACACCTCCAAACATCAGGCAATTTTAACCAGTAACCCATTCACAGCTAAGTTCAAACAGCAACAATGCAACGAACATATACAAATAATCAATATAACCAGGCAACAAAAATTCAGCAACCACATAACAACAACTATTTCATCAAAGACACCTTGAATCAAAACTGCTCTGACCAATTAGTGTAACACCCTCCCTTATAGGCCTCCAAGAGAGTTGTTTGCTAAGCGGAATTAGAGTTCTTTTGTCATATTTGAAGTACTGAAAAATCATTATTTAATGTTGCTAATTAAAACTTGTAATTGAAATCGAGTTCCTTACAAAAATCAGAGTGTGCTTTCAAAATTTCTTAACTTGCTGAAAATAGTAATTTCATGTGCAGACATTGCTGTCTTTAAAAATTTGTATAAAATCAGTTCTAACGATTCAAAAATATATTCCATAAGATCTAGAAAGAGCACGTTTGGGGCTTCGCGTGCATATAAAATAATAGTAATTCGGAGTTCGTTTGCCCCTCGAAACATAACTTGAAAAGTGCTCGCAAGACTGTTTAAAAACCAACACTTAAATAAATCGCCAAACATTATTTTCGCAAAACGTTTCTAGAATTTCGTTCCAAAATTTTTGCTGATCATAAAAGTCTTAAAACAATAGTAAAATCATAATCCAACAGTAATCCAAACTTCTCAAATTAATACAGTTATCAATCAAATAAACAACAACAACAAAAATCCTAACAGCAGCACATAACAGCAAATATCCATATAATCATGACTTCATATGCTCTTCCGCCCTCCTGCCATTTTGTAAAAATAGCAACCCCAAAGGGGTGAGAAAAATCCCAGTAGTGTGGCAACAAAACCAGTAATGCAACAATACTAACTAAATACAGAATTACAAAACAGTCACATCATCAAGTTAAATCCGGCAGATACTAAACTTTATCGTATTGCGTATATAATTCCAAATATACTAATCAAGATGCGTATATAACGCCAAATATACTAGTCAAGATGCGTATATAACGCCTAAAATGTACAGCATCGTCGTGCCTGTACACACAAGTACAGTGGAGGTCTCCCTTAATGGCTCCTCAGAGGGTTCCAACTGTAACCTAAACGGACTAAAGCCAAGTGTCCCATACCCTGGTACCGCAGGGATTCCTACATGATGCATGCTCAAACGTATGCATAGTTTTTGAAAACATTTCTAGTTACAAACATGAAACTTGTGCATGCATGTATGATATGTCATGGTTCACACGCAACATACAAATAAAAATTATGAATGTACATGCATGACTAGATAATATTCAATATTTCATATAACTTATGGGCTCAATATCAAGATGCTGCAGAATAATCAAAACAGCATAAGCAGCATATCAAGTCCAAAACAGAACCCATATACATAACCAAGATACATATCTCATGGATTTTCCAATATCAGAATGCTGAATAATCAATAATTCTCCAAAACCAAGTATTCAGCAAAGCAAGACCATGAGCAGAATCCCATTATCATAGACAAAATTCAGAACCAAGGTGCATGAGAGCAACGTTCACAATTCATGTATTAGCTAGCAGTCACAAGAGGTAATACCGCCAGACACTTACCTTATACGTTCCAAATATTTTACCAGACAGCGGCGTATAATCCAAAGTTTCAAGGGGGTTGCACACCTAACATATAGTGCAACAAAAATCAGGATACGTTTCAAACCATTCCTATAAATTACCAATAATTTCCTAGCTTAACAGCTCATGTACCCTATTCGGCCATCAATGATCTTTTCCCAAAAGTATTCTGACTTCGATAATAATATTCCAACGTTTAAAAGTGACTAACCACACCTAAACAGAACCGGTTTCATCATACAAAGCACTCAAGACACTTAATTAAATTTTTAGCTTAACAAGGCCATAGGTGAGGGAGAGAAACGTCTAACCTCATGTTGTATTTTGATTTAAGAAGGACCTAGTTCATAACCAGATTTACCAAAACAGAATGGGTTTTAATAAATAAGGGGCTCATGACATTTATTCGAAATTTAACTCAACAAGACTAAGGGTGCGAGAATAGGGGTTCGACAACATGCTGGATATTTAAATTAGAATAGGACTTAGCTCATAACAAAAGTTACCAAGTCAGAACCGATTTCATATAAACCAACATCAAGGATAATTTATTTAAAAAGCTCATATACTACCTTTAAGATTGCGCTACTAAGGGTCAAAACATACAGTCCTCTTTATTTAACATCTTAACAATTTTGGATACACTAACTCAGCCCCTATACTTTGTTAGAAGAGCATTTCAAGGTTCATTTTCTTTATCTTTTCATTCTAAAGTCTAAGGATAGAAACTGGCAGAATCTAAAAGAGCCAAGTATAAAATAAAAAGTCATTTCCTAGGCTTGCATCACGGTTTGGAGCAGAGAAAAAGAAGGGAGGTTTTCTGCCTACCTCTTTGCAGCACACAAGAAAAACCGATTCCAATAAAGGAGCAGCAACTCAGCTCTTCAAACGATGACTGTGCGTACCAAGGGAGGAAGGAATGAGTTCCTTCTTGTGTGGGGAACCTCGGCTGGCAGGGGAGGAATGGAATGAGTTCCTCAATGACATTTATTTTCCAAGGCTTACGGTTTCTGGAAGAAAGAAGATGAGAGGAGAATAAGATTTTTAGAGTTCCTTTTTTTTTTGCATTCAAGGGCATACACGGTCATGAGAAGTGGGGGGAAGGAAAGTGCAAATGTCTTGTTTTTCTTTTGAGTCTCTAGTCACTAAGGTTGAGGTTTGTATTAAAGAGAAAGTGGTTGAAGAATGGTGAGATCTTTCTCTGCTCAATCAGCGCTTGAAGGTGCAAAGATGGAGTTGAGTTGGCTGGTCTTAAAATAAATCAAAGATCAGAATTTGTATTATATCACTCTCTCTTAGGCGCTCAAAGGGGTGAAGATTTTGGGTGGCAATTCTACCCAATAATAACGCATGCAAACTGACCTCTCGGTCTACCATTGGCTGCATGTACTTAAAGTTGTATTATTTGGCTGGTATAACAAGCAATCAACTACCTTTTGTTACAAATCATGCGCATGAGGGAGGATAGGTGGAAGGGTTGGTTATGTTTCTTTTGAGAGGCTTATCCAGAACTTTTATTTTCTCATTTTTACAAGTCCCATGCTTACATGTGAGGGAAAGTGTGGTTAGATAGCATAACAAGAAATCTGATTGCTTTCTCTACACTCTAAGAGCATTCAAGGGTGGTGGAAAGCTTATGGTTGCCACATGAAGTACAAGCAAGTGAGTGGGAGAGCCAAGTGGCACGCATGCAACCAATTGGAAGCTAGGAGATATGCATAGGCTGGATTGAGTTTGATTAACAAAAGCAAGTCAGAATTTTGACTTTGGCTTCCCATTATGCGCACAAATGGAGAGATTAAGATAGGATTTGCCAAGTGTTGGTTACTACCACTCAAGGGTTGCCATTGTAAGGTTCTAAGGGTTAGGTAAAACACAAAAGTTGGGCTGAACCAAGGCTACCTCCTAAAGCCCTAAAGCTTCGGCCAAACATCAATTAAGGATCAAAAGTATACAAGCCCAAAATGTAGCTAACTTAAGTACTTACCCATAAAATATAAATTCCCAAGTCTTGTAATTATATTTAATTCTTTCTACAATTTGCTATAATTAATTCGTACATCTTTTCTAAGGCTTCACATGCCTAAAATAAATTCTCACCTATTATTATAATTCAAGTAATTTCCCTAGCTCAATCTTAATTCCATGCTAATAACCATATAATTCGAACGCCTAGGACATATTACATGTGATCCGAATTGTCACACATTCACTCTTATGTCCTATAATATTTTATGTATTTCCCCAATTGTGTGGGATGTTACATGAACACATCAAACTGTGATCCATACAAATAATGCCTCCAGATTTTTAGAGTGAACACTATGGCTGCTAACTCCAGATCGTGCGTAGGGTAATTTTCTTCATGAGATTTCAGTTGCCGAGAGGCAGAAGCTACAACCATCCGGTCCTGCATTAACACAGAGCCAAGTCCCTTCAAGGACGCATCACAGTATACTTCAAACTTTCTAGTTGGATCTGGAATGGTAAGTATCAGAGCACTCGTTAATCTATTCTTTAGCTCCAGGAAACATTCTTCACAATCATCGGTCCACTCAAAAGGCACATCCTTCCGAGTGAGACGGGTAAGTGGTTGTACTAACTAAGAGAAATTTTGAATAAACCTTCGATAATAGCCTACAAGGCCCAAGAAACTCCGCACTTCAGTGACGGTCCTGGGTCGTTCCCAATTCATTACAGCTTCAACTTTGCTGGGATCCACCGCGATACCTTCTGCTGAAATTATGTGACCCAGAAACTGGACTTCACTAAGCCAGAACTCACATTTCGACCACTTTGCATACAGCTGCTTCTCCTTAAGGATCTGTAAGACTATCCTTAGATGTTCCGCATGTAATTCTTCATTGAGGGAATAAATCAGAATGTCATCGATAAACACAATAACAAACTGATCCAGGAATGGGCGGAAGATGCGGTTCATATAATCCATGAATACTGCCGGAGCATTTGTAAGTCCGAACGGAATCACCTGGTATTCGTAATGCCCATAACAAGTCCAAAAAGCTGTTTTCGGAATATCCTCCGGTTTGACCCAGATTTGATGGTATCCCGATCGTAAATCTATTTTGGAAAAGACTCTGGCACCTCTCAGCTGGTCCATCAAATCATCGATCCTAGGAAGCGGGTACTTATTCTTCACTGTCACTTTGTTCAGTTGACGGTAATCCACACACAGACGTAGGCTACCATCCTTCTTCTTAATCAAAATAACTGGAGCACCCCATGGAGAGGTACTGGGTCTAATGAATTCCTTCGACAATAACTCTTCTATCTGCTTCTTCAGCTCCCGAAGTTCCAAAGGTGCCATACGATACGGAGCAATGGAAATAGGTCCAACTCCGGGAATAAGTTCAATGGGAAATTCAATTTCCCGGTGAGGAGGTAGTCGAGGAATTTCATCTGGGAACACCTCCTCGAATTCATTCAAACCTGGAACATTCTGAATTGGGTTGTCAACTGAAGTCTCAGACTCAATCAACAACAGATATCCTGCAGCTCTCCGAAGGAGCTCTTTTCTAACTTGTAACAAAGAAATAGTAGCAAAAGGCTGAAAATTACCATCTCTTGGAGGAACAATGACCTTCCTTGCTTGACAGTCCAATGTTATTCCATTCTCCGTCAACCAGTCCATACCGATAATCACCTCAAAATTGAATACCGGTAGAACCACTAAATTCACTGTATAAGTGTTCCCTTCAAATTGCAAAATAACACCTCTGCAGATTTCTGATGCAGTACAAGATCCTCCAGTAGGAGTAATGATTTGTAACTCATAAGGTAACGGAGCTGGGGTGATGCCTATTCGCATAGCAGTGTGCTTTGCCATAAAGGAACCTGATGCTCCAGAATCAAAAATAACAGATATTGGATAGCCATTCAAAATTACATTACCTCAAATCAGATTAGGATACTTCTGAGCTTCATTTGCATCAAGGGTGAACACCCGAGCATGAGTAGGATTTCGATTAGGATTCTGTGGGCAATCAGAAATAAAGTGTCCCGACTGTCCACATCCGTAGCATAAGTTGTTTCCACGTCGGCAGACTCCGGTATGATTCTTCCCACAAGTAGGACAAGCGTTGGAACCCTGTTGTTCGGCAGATGTTTGACTAGGAGCATTATTTTTCTTGAAGTTTCCAGTCCGAGCTTGCAACTGCGGACCCTTGCCTTTATTCATTCCGGTAATCTTTCTGAAGAACCGGCCCACTTTGCTTCCTCCCTGCGATTGCATTGGCTGCTTTGACAGATTCTTGGCTTCATTGATAATTTTTTCCGCCTGCCGACTCTGATTAATTAATTCAGGCAGAGTACGATTAGCTGTAGTCAGAATGAGCTTCCGGATCTCTGGGTGCAATCCTCTTTCAAATTTCTCCACTTGCCATTCTTTGTCATAGATGTTCCGATCATAGTTGGCATATTCCATCAGCTGCCCGAACTTAGCGATGTATTCATTGACAGTCATGTTACCCTGCCTTAGTGACAACAGTTCAGTATGCTTCATTCTTCTCATGGACTTCAGAAAATACTTGTCCAGGAAAACCCGTCTGAACACTGCCCAAGTCAGATCAACATTTTGAGCTCGCAGCAGAGCCCTCGCACCGATCCACCAAGTCAATGCTTCCCCAATCAACTGGTATGAGGCATAATCAGTCTTCTGAGCCTCTGGACATCCCTTCCGTTCAAATATATGCTCAATCATCTGCAGCCACCTTGCTGCAGCCTCCAGATTATCTACACCTTCGAATGTAGGTGGATGAAAGTTGCAGAAGTCCTTCAACCTCCGTCTGGCAATTTCCTCAGCATTGTCATTCAGCGGAGGCTGGTTCGGGTTTTGATGCCTCCTATATTCTCGCCACTCTTGACTCATGTTCTGGACAAAAGTGGCCAGTCCCCCGACGGTAGTGATAAGGTCGTCAGGTGCATTGCCTGTCCTTCCATGAGTAGAACCGCGGTACCTGCCATGTTTCTGCACTCACAATACCACGAAATGAGCTGATCAGACTCAATGCAAGCTATTTATGATAGCAATCCCAAGTAGGTACTCGAGTTCAATTCAGATAAGTTAACAATGCATCTGCCCCTATTACCGTATAATTCTAACAGCCTAGGTATAACAGTTAATATATCTCAAATAGTTTAAACAGTTTATCATACAGCAAGCAACAATTAATTCACAATCAATTACAATCAGTAAACAATTCATCAAGCAGCAAGCAATTTCAACCAGAAAACAAACACCATGAACCAAAACTGCTCTGATACCAATTAGTGTAACACCCTCCCTATTATGCATCCAAGAGAGTTGTTTGCTAAGCGGATTAGAGTTCTAACTTATTTACTTATATACTGGAAATGCAATTTTTTGTTACTAATTAAAAACTTAAGTCGAAATCTGGTTACTTGAAAGAAAATCAGAGTGAGACTTTAAAAGTACATAGCTTGCTGAAAATATTATTTTCCTGGCAGACCTTGCTGTCTTGAAAAATTCGTGTAAAATCAAGTTTTCAAAATTCCATTGTAACGTTTATATAATCGAAAACTAGACACGTGGGGCTTCGCGTGCATATAAAATATAAGCGAATCGAAGGTCGTTAGCCCCTCAAAACATAACTCGCAAAGTGCTCGTAAAACTGTTTCAAAATCAGCACTTAATAAAACGTTCAGAAATTATTTTCGCAAAACGTTTCAGAATTTTTCCAAGGTACTAACTGATCATAAAAGTCTTAAAACATTAGCTAAATCATAGTTCCAATAGTAATCCAAACTTCCCAAAATAATACAGTCATCCATCAAGTAAACAGTAACAGCGAAAATCCAAATAGCAGCAATTAACAGCAATTATCCATATAACCACGTCCTCATATGCTCTTTCGTCCTCTTGTAATTTTATAAAATTGCAACCCCAAAGGGGTGAGAAAAATCCCAGTAGTGTGATAGCAAAACCAATAATGTAGCAGTACTAACTAGATACATAATTACAAAGCAGTCGCATCATCAAGTTAAATCCGACAGATACTAACTACTATCATATTGCGTATATAACGCCAAGAGTACGTTTGTAGCACTAATGTGCACGTACTAACAAGCACAATGGAGATCCCATAGTGGCTCCTCAAGAGGGTTCTAACTGCGACCTATGCGGACTGAAGCCAAATGTCCCATACCCTGGTACCAAAGGGATGCCTACATGATGCGTGCTCAAACGTATGCATACTTTTCAAAATTATTTTCAGATAACAACATGAAACTTATGCATGTATGCTATGTCATGGTTCACACACGAACAAACATTTAAAAATCATGAATGTGTATGCATGACTAGATAATAATCAAGATAACATATATCTCATGGATTCAAACACCAGGATGCTGAATCATAATTAATTTTCAAAACAAAATATCCAGCATACAAGTCCAAGAACAGAATCCAAGCAACTTATACAAAAATTCGAAACCAAGGCACATGAGAGCAACGTTCACAATTCATGTACCAGCTAGCAGTCACATAAGGTAATGCCACTAGACACTTACCTCATGCGTCACAATTAAATTACCAGGCAGCAGCGAAAATAAACCAAAGTCTTAAGGTTTCTGTGCACCTAATATATTAACATACCAAATCATCATTTTATACAATTATTCCAATAATTTCTAAGCTCCTAAATCATGCACTTTCATCGAATTATAGGTTTCCTGGTGTTAATTATATTCTGCTCTTAAGAGTATTCCATTCTTTGTTAGCATTTACCATTCTTCCAAGGTTCATAGCATGCATGGGTTCGCTTTTAAGACTTCTCCTAAGTGCGTAATTTCTGACTTCATCTAATTTTATTTAATTGAACAGCAGCAATACCCAACATTTTCCCCTAAGCTCCCACACTCTACTCTATTGGTTTCACCATGATTTCTTCCCTACTAAATTCTGACTTTACAATAAGATTACCAACATTTAATAACAAAACAATTTCCTATATTCCCACCAAAGCAGAATCAGATATCTCCTAGCAAAAACATCAAGAATTTTTGTTCCCCAAACTCAACCAATTTTCCTAGGGTGCGCTACAAGGGATTAAGCATGCTGTCCTCTTTAATTGATTCATGAAAAATTTGATATACACTAAATCACAACCAAACAGCCCCACAATTTATTATAAGGTCATTTCCAAGTTTACTTGTTATGCTTTCAAGCTAGGGTACAATGGGTTTAATATGGCAGAATCTAAAAGTGATAAAATAAATGGAAGGCTACTTCCTAAGCATGCTTCACGACTTGAACAGAGGAGGGGAAAGAGGTTCAAAAATTTTGTGCTTACCTCTTGCAAGCACACAAAGAAAGCCGAACAAAACAAGGAGCATCACCTTCGCTTCCTAGACTCCACGAACACAGCAAGTTCAGCCCTCCTACAGTGGCTGCGCGCACGAATAGAGAAAGAGGATTTTCTTGAGTTATAACCTACAAACAAGGGGACATTTTCGTCAACCAAACGTGGTAGAGGAAGACAACGAAGATGAAGATTTTCTATACCTTCTTGTGTGGAGAACCTCGGCTGGACAGAGAAGAAATGGAGTGAATTCTTCAATGGTAGTTGTTCTCCAAGGTCCACGGTTTCTAGGAGAAGGAAGATGAGAGGAGAATAAAATTTGAGAGTTTCCTTTGTATCCTCTCAAGGATACATACAGTCATGAGAGTGGAAGGGGAAAGGAAGATGCAAAATATAGTTTTTCTTATGGAGTCTTTATGCTCTTAGGTTTAAGTTTGTTTAGGGAGAAAGGAAGATGATGAAATGGCTCAATCTTTACTTAACAAAGCAATTCTTTCACCTATGATTCTAGACATGCAGCGCTGAAATGGTGAGGAGGTGAGGTCTATATGCCTGATTTAAAAGCCAACAGCAATCAGAAAATAACTTAGACTTCTATCTCTCATTTGGGGCGCACAAAGGTGCCAGGGGGGGGGGGGGGGTGGCAATTCTGCCCAATAATAAAACATGCAATCTGACTTCTAAGGGCTGGTTGGATGCATGTAGAAAAAGCTGAGTTAGTTTGTATATTGAAGCAAGTAATGGCCAGCTTTTTACCCCCACCTAGGCGAATGGAATGAGGGTAATGGAGAGTGGCTGGCTTGAGTTATCTAATAGGAATCTTAATCAGAATTTTCAGCTTCTTTTTCTCTACCCTAGGCGCACAAATGGAGAGGAACTAAGATAGGGTTTTGCCAAGTGTTGGTCCCTTGCCAATCAAGGGCTGCCTTGTGGGATTTCTAAGGATAAGATTAGGGAAAAATGCAAAAAACATTGGGCTGTATCAAGGACCCCCTTACAACCCTTAGGCTTCGGCCAAACTAGTATTGGGGACAAAATATACAAGCCCAAAAGGTGTACTACTTAGGTACTAGCCCATGAAATCATAAGTTCCCAAATCTTTTAAGTATTTTTAGTTTTTCTATATGTTGCTATTAATTTATTCCTACATCTTTTACTAAGGTTTCACATGCCTAAAATAAATTCTCACTTATCATTGCAATTCAAATAATTCCCTAACTCAATATTAATTCCCTACTAGTAGCCATATAATTCGAGGACAAGGCATGTATTGCACATAATTGGAATTTAACATAAGTATCCATATTACTCATGGCAATATATGTATATATACATATTTTTCTAATTACACGGGATGTTACACAAAGTGTTCCTAAACTTATCAATTACATAATCAGGAAGCCAATGATTCAGCTCTTCATAATCCCAGTCACCTGAAACAATTATTCAATCAACAACGATCTTGTTCATATCCACAACCTGTTCATTGTTATTGAGATCCTATAATAAGGATTTTCCATAAAATAACCATTTATCTATCCACAACTTACATAAGTTTTTCCACAATTCCCAATAGATCTGAACCTCCATTTCCTTCCACAACTTACATAAGTTTTTCCACAAATTTGAATCACCATTCCTAGATATGAAAGGACCACCACAACGCCTATCAGCCTCGTATTTTGCATGTAACACTTGAGCCCAAAGATGATTAGGAGAAGAATGGTACTCCCAAGCCCTTTTAGCAATGAAAGCATCATTCATCAACTCTAAACTTTTCAACCCTAAACCACCACACGCCTTTGGCTGAAGAATGACCTCCCAACTGATACTTTGATGCCTACGATGATTCTCCTTATCCCCCCAAATAAAAGCATGTTACATTTTCTCCAACTCTAAGCAGATACCCCTAGGAACTTTACAGCTCTACATCTGGAAAAAAAAAAAGGAATAGCCGCCATGATCGATTGTGCAAGAGTAACACGCCCAGCCTGTGAAAGACATTGTTGATGCCAAGCGCTTAGCTTACCTCTAACTTTCTCAACTATTCTCATAAAGATCTCTAGTAACTCTTCCCTGTTGCATCATGGAGCCCAGATATCTTCCCATATTCTTCACACGCCTGAAGCAACTACAATTGGTTATGCTACTAACCAACTCTTCGTTAGTGTTCTTAAAGAAAAATATCGTGGTTTTATCTACACTAAGCTTTTGACCAGAAATTTCTTCAAATAAATTGAGACACTGCATTAGCACATCTATTTGATCCATACTCGCCTCCATAAAATTCATAAGATCGTATGCAAAAGCCAGGTGAGAAATCTGAGGACCTCCTTTACCTGCGCGAATAGGCTTACAGCAGTGCTAATAATATGTGAATTTTTCCATTGCAATAACAAATAAATAAGGAGACAAAGGATCCCCTTGTCTGATCCCTCTTAAGGGAATAAGTTCCTCTGATTTGCTTTCATTCCATAAAATATTAATCTTAGGGGATTGCACATAACTTATAATCAGATTAATCAAATAACTAGGAAAAGTAATTTCCTCGAGAGTACGTTTCAGAAAATTCCAATTGAGCCTATCATATGCCTTCATAAGATCAATCTTTATAGCCATGAAAGGTCTCCTGCCTCGCATCTTATGCATGGAATGGATTAATTCCTGCACAATGATTATGTTATCTTGAATTTTCCTATAGGGAATGAAACTAACTTTGAAGGGAGATATAATTTTCTCCATTATAAGCTTCATTTTCTCCACAATAAGATATATGACCTTATATACCACTGAACAAAGTGAAATAGGCCTGAACTGGGCAATATAATCTGGGCTATTAGTTTTTGGAATGAGAACTAACAGGGTATAGTTAATATTATAAATGAGCTACGAGTTGCTCCACATACTTCTGACTGTATCACACACCTGATGTTTCACTCTAAACCAGTGCCTTTGAAAAAAGATCGTTGTAAAACCATCCACTCCAGGTGCTTTATATGCACTCATGCCAAGTAACAATTTTGAAATCTCCTACAAACTAGGAATCCTCTCCAACTCCAAGCACTCATCATGAGAAATACCAGCCCAACAATTGACAGAGGATAACCATCTACGATTAAAATTCTCTTCCGTAAACAAAGTTTTATAGAAATTACATACCAATGATTTAAGCTCCAAAGGGTCTTCAGTCCAAGCATTAGCATTATTCCCGAGTCTGGTAGCCTTATTACTGCTCCTACGAATCATAGTTTTCAAGTGATAAAATTTTGTATTTTTATCATCATCTATAATCCATCGATGTAGCGTTAACTCTTCATGCTACAACGTTAACTCTAAATTCCTTTGGATGTTTTGCTCCATTTCCTGCAAATAAAAATTATCACCAAGTTCCCTTCGGCCTTGAATCTCCGTAAGCATCTTGGACAAATGATATTTTTTGCGATTAATATCACCAAAAATAAATTTATTCCAACGACGAAGATGAGGAACAAAATTGTTGAGCATAATGTTTAAATCGACATTCTCCTTCCATTTATTTGACATTAGATTAGAAAACCGTGAATCATCCAACCAAGCAGCCAAAAAATATGAAAGGCCTATCTTGTCATTGGGTATTTACTGCATCCAACTTTATAAGAAAAGGATTGTGATCATATTCTATTCTAGGCAAAGAGCGAGCTTCTGCCCCTTCAAAGTAAACTCTCCAAGCCAAATTAACACAAACCCTATCTAGATTCTTATACACACGATCTAAATGATTCCATTTTGGCCCCTGCCAAGTATAAATAGACCCCACACACTTAAGATCATCAACTTGACAGTCTTGTAAAAAAGATAAGAATCTTTTGTATTTGCCTACATCAGGCCGCGACCCTCGTTTCTTCTCATCAATGCTCCTGATATCATTAAAATCTCCAGCCAATAGCCATGGAGTGTTAATATTATTACTCAACTGTAATAACTCCTCCCAAAGAAAATGACGTTCTTCTTCATGAGGACTAGCATAAATAGCCGTATAAAGAAAACTTTTATTGTTACCCAGCTTTATATGCATGTGGATAAACTGCATTCCCTGAGAAATAGCTTGCACCAATATTTTTTTAGAGTCCCATAAGACCCAAATGCCACCAGTAAACCCATGTGCTTCTTCAACAATCATATTATAAAATTTGATTTTTCTCAGAATCCTCACGCATCTCTCACTACTTGTACGAGTTTCTAATAAAACCATCATACCAATGTCGTATTTAGACACCATCATCATAAGATTACGACCAATATTGGGTTTGGCCTCCGCCTACAATTCCAAAAAACCAAAGACATAAAAACGAGATTGTTTTGTGACAGGTTTCTTTTGTAATTGCAACAAAGGTCCTTTCACTTTTAAAACTCTACTCTCACTCCCTTTGGAAGAAGTTCATATACCTACAGAATGCTATGGTTTGACATTAGGAGGAACAGATTCTTGAGCCATATGAACAATATCATCGATAGCAACGTGCGATCCCAATGCTTTCTCCTTCAGACTATCAACTACATTAGAAGCTTGATTCTCAATATTCATCTTATCCACAAAACTGAACCCAGCCCCAGTGGCCTCCCTTATGCAAGAATCAAAATTTCCATCCCCATCATTCTGCTTTTCATTCAATTTTTTGCTTGAGTCTTTCCCTAATAAAATAAAAGCCTTGTCTATCTCCACAAGAACCACGTTGTCCGTCCCTTTCTTCACTTTTTCTTTCCCTGGAACCCTACCAAATTCATGAAACTGAGTACCAACTCGTTCACTTTCTACTTGATTGTCAATTGTAAGACTAACAGTCTTAGCAATTTCCTATTGATCAATCGAATATTCAGCTTCTTTAGAAAGCTTGATGTGCTCCATATTGGCCTCAGAATTTAACTTTGTAACTTCCTTCCTCCCTATCTTACCGCTTTTCCCTTCTGAAACAACCATCCAAGGACCATAGTTAGAAGTCCCTTCATCATCAGACCTGGATTTAGATATAGAATTATCACACTCCTTTTCCAAATCACTTACAGCAGTTTTAGTCACACACTGGACAATAAAAGGACATCCCGCAGATCTGTGACCATATTTTCTACAACCAAAACATAGTAAATGAAGCCCCTTATATTCGACCTGTTTATACCGTCTCTCAACATAATATTCAGCCTTAAGTGGCTGACTCAAATCCAACTCAATACAGATTCTAGCAAAATTTCCCCTTGCTAGATTCGTAGTTATTGCATCTAATAGGATAAATTTACCAAGCCAGTTCCCTACACTCTTCATGAGATGAGTATTAACATATTCCAAGGGAAATCTTGGAAGATGACCGAAGCCATGACCCTATTGATGGACGCTTGGAAAGGTTGAAAATCAGGTTCCGAGGCTCTAATAGACAAATAGTGATCAAAGATGATCCATGGCCCAGCCTGATATGATCCCTAATAGAAATGGGGGAATGGATCTACTAGGAATGGAAATTCTAACCCCAAATTCATCCACCAACACGACCTGTTAAGAACAGAGCATATCTCACGCTACAGACCTCGGAATCGAACGTTTCCAAATCGAGGTGAAATATCTCTTTCCGAATCGCAACTTTGACTCAAGAATCACTGAAAACTGACGCGTATATCAAGAGATATGAACCGAGACTATTTTGGACGAAAATTGAAGGTTTGGGTGATAGGGTTTGATACAAGAATTTGTGAACTCAATGAAGAAACGATAACTGAAAAGCGCCACAATCCAAAGATTAATAAGCCTATGGACGCCACAAGGATTAGCACCCTTGATAAGTTCTGAGATTCTCAAAAGAACCCTAGAGAAGCTAGTCTCTCACAAAAAAAAAAGGTTATCTTTTTATTCTGAATTTCCCTTCAAAAGCTATGGTGTTCCCTTATATAGTGGGCAACATCCATATTGAGTTTAACCTGAAAGTGCTTACACATAAAAGAAAATAGACAGCCCAATAATCCAGCCCAATAAGCCTTATTACAAAAGTTTAACTGAATATAAGAAAGATAAAATTAAGTGCAGAATTTGGGCCAAGTAAAAATAAAGCCTTCATGCATATCCATTGAGGCTTATTCTTCAAAGTCTTCAATTTGAATTATTGTATCATTTTGGGCTCTTCTTCCTTTAGACTTGGGCTTGTCTCAAGTAAAGTGGTCACCAAGAGATTTAGAGCCTCTTTAGCCTTTTTAGCTTTTGCTCTTGTCATTGGACCTCCAAGAGCTACATAATGGTGTAGTACATTGTGAAGTGCAACCCTTACTATTATACATAATGGGGTAGTATACTATGTAGTGTAACACCTCTTTCCATTATGTCTGAAGTCCTATATAAGGACATATTTTCCTTATGAAGAAATGGAATAAGAAACAAATATTATAACTAGTTCATGAAGAACTGATCTTTTAGAATTTAGATTTCAATTGTCTTCATCTCTTTTTTATATTTTCTCTTTATTTTATAACACGTCAACCCAATCAAATCTCTAATAGTGTAGCACACAATTTAGTCTCTTGTATAACAAAATCTTCCATGTTTAATTTCAAGCACAAGTCTCTCAAAAAGCGAAATCCTCCATGTTTCATTTCAAGCACGAGTCTCTATCAATGAAGTGTTGAGTTTGATCAATATAAAAGTAGTAACACATTCTTATCCTTTCTTATCATTTCATGGCTTAATTTTTTTTTTTGTTGCTTTCTTTATATTATTTCTAATATGAATGTTCTTTTCTATTGCTTTTGCTAAGATTTGATTGTCAGTAATTACATTTTATGCATCCATGAAGGATTGCACAAAATTAGTGGATATCATTGGTTTACGGTTCTTGAAGAATTAGAGATTTGAATCATGATTGAAAAATTCTAATTGATCTTTTGCATAATTTTAAAATAAGGGTATTAAGAGGAAAAACTCTCTATGTTTTATGTCTCTTGAATATGCTCCAGCAGTAGCCATATTGAGAAAAGATAATTTAGAGAAAAAATTTCTAAATCAAGTTTATGCATTTTTTATGATTGAAGAAAAGAATGAGTTTGATATGAATAAGGAGACAACACCTAGTGATCTATTACAATTGCCAAATGGTCCATCACAAGATCAAGGGCCAAGAAGTTTAAAGAAGCTCTTAGTGGGTTGATCTAGCAAATATAGGCTAATCATGAAGACATCAAGCCCAAATTTATTTATAATCAGAATTTAGTCAATGTCATCAATGCAAGGGAGGTTGAGTGGAATGAGTAACAATTCCATATGCCAATTAATGCTTAGCGGGGCTGAAAGAATTTTCAGTGTTATTAATGCTTAGTGGGGTTGATTCAAATTTCCAACGTCATTAATGTTTAGTGGGCTGATTAGAGTATTTTTCTTTTCCAAGTTGTCAACTTTAAATTAGTGTCTTTTCATTTGCCAAGTCTTTTCCTATTCTTGGAGGGATGTTCCAAGTATAAATAAGGGAGGATATAACTCTTGTAATCAGATTTTGAAGTTATAATATAATAGAGAGGTTTCTTCTCTTTGGTTCTTATCTAGAACTCTGAATTTATCAAGAAGTTTGTTCTTGTGGCGTTCAAACCAGACTTATCACTCAACTTCTTCTTTCTTTAGTGTGGCGTCTTTATCCTTCTTATACCTTTGGTTCTTATCTTCCATAGATAACGGGTCAAGGTTATTTATTTCTTGTTTTAAATTTCTGATTGTAGAAACGATCCTAACTAAATTGGTCTTGGGTCTCACTATTCTTGGTGAGGTTCATATCATTTGGTATCAAAGCTAGTCTTCTAAATCAGGTTTGATCTATCCTTTTATTTTATTGTTAACATTTTTTTATTTCTAATTCATTCTCCTTCTTGTGTCAACTATTCCAATTGGTACTGTTCAAAAAAAAAATCTTAGTATCTTTAGAAGCCAAAAGAAAAACAAAATCTTAGTATCTGCAGAAGCAAAAAAAAAATGAAAAAAAAATCTCGTATCTTCAAAAGCAAATAAAAAAGGAAGAACAAAAAAATGAAAAAAAAAAATCTGATCCAAATTCCTTGAAGTAAAAATTGTCTCTTTGAATTTTTTCCAGTTTTGTTCTTTTCTATTCCAGTGTGTACTTCCTTTCTTACTTAATTTCAGTTATTGCTTAAATTTATTGTCATTCCAACCTTTCTTTACCCCTAATTCTTGACATCAAAAAAATATTCTCTTGTTCTTCTTGTCTCTTTCTATTATGTTCTTTTTG